TAGAGGATTTTTGATGGATTGTCGATTATTGAAGGATAGCGTTTTCTGTGAAAAATGTAAGATACCATGCTGATTAGTTAGTCAGAAAAAGTCATCGAACTGGTAGTATTTGCAAGAAATGTACAGCTGAGAAATCAATTAGGCTAGGATCTTGATTCGCCTGTAGTAAGCTCAATTTTTCTAGAAACTTTTTTTTTTTTTTTTTTTTTTTCCCAACGCGAATCAATGGAGTTGCTTATGCGCGAATTTCTGCAATTCTCCGATTTCTTTTAAGTGAAAGAAAATTTCTTAGTATATGAGCAATGCAGAGTTTATTCAATTTCTGGTTTTTAAGTAAAAAGAGATCGCTATATACATGGGCTAAGGCAGTGCGCAATGCCGAGGTTGTGCACGTGCCTAGTTTGTGTAATTCTAGGATTTTTTTTAAGTGAAAATAGATCGATGTGCACATGGGCAGAGCCAATGTAGTGCGCAGTGCCGAGGTTGTGCGCGATGCCTAGTTTGTGCAATTCTAGGATGTTTTTTTAAGTGGAAATAGATCGATGTGTACATGGGCAGAGCCAATGTAGTGCGCAGTGCCGAGGTTGTGCGCGGTGTCTAGTTTGTGCAGTTCTAGGATGTTTTTTAAGTGAAAATAGATCGATGTGTACATGGGCAGAGCCAATGTAGTGCGCAATGCCGAGGTTGTGCGCGGTGCCTAGTTTGCGCAATTCTAGGATGTTTTTTAAGTGAAAATAGATCGATGTGTACATGGGCAAAGCCAATGTAGTGCGCAATGCCGAGGTTGTGCAATTCTCGGATGTTTTTAAGGTGAAAATAGATTGATGTAGTCATCGGCAAAGCCAATGTGTTGCCAATGTCGAGTTTGTGCAATTCTAGGATGTTTTTTTAAGTGAAAATAGATCGATGTGTACATGGGCAAAGCCAATGTAGTGCGCTATGCCGAGGTTGTGCGCGGTGCCTAGTTTGTGCAATTCTAGGATGTTTTTTTAAGTGAAAATTGATCGATGTGTACATGGGGAAAGCCAATGTAGTGCGCAATGCCGAGGTTGTGCGCGGCGCCTAGTTTGTGCTGTTATAGGATGTTTTTTTAAGTGAAAATAGATCGATGTGTACATGGGCAGAGCCAATGTAGTGCGCAATGCCGAGGTTGTGCAATTCTCTGATATTTTTAAGGTGGAAATAGATGGATGTGTACATGGACACCGAGCTTTGTGCATGTTTTTTTTCGGGCGAATACGGATCGTTGTTTACAAAGGAAAACGAGATAATGTGTGATGACGAGCTGTAATGTAACGTATTTTATATGCAATGTTTAACATATCGTTTGTGTATTTTAAATTGTATTGTTGTTTTAATTGTGAATTATATTTAAGACATCATTTTTCATTTAAATTGTATTTTAATGTTTTGGTTTTGATATGTTTATAATGCTTTCCGACTTACGATATATATCGATAGCCCGACGATCTACTCAACAGTAGCAAAGCTGTAAACTTTGACCCTATAAGTAACTTTTACCTCATTATTATAATACGTAGTGTTTGCAATCCTAATCGCACTTGATAATACGAGTTCTTTGATAATACAGTGTCTCAAAAAGTGATGGGACACTTGTGCTTTACAAAAGGAAACTGTAATAAAATAAATTAAAAAAACATGTAAAAATTTTTTGTGGGTGTGTTTCATACTTAAATTTAGTAACAATTATTACATCACATACATTTTCTCAAAATATTAACTTAATAAAAATACAATTGTTTAGAACGGAGCAAAAAATGGCTCACGTAAGTGATGGGACACCATTAGATACTACTACGAACTATGCAACAAAAATCGTCTGAAGTAAGCAATAAAAATATTTTTTGGGGTTTTTATTTTTACTCAAAGCAATTGGCAATAATTATCGCAATCGTCTGCAGTATTTCTCTCCAGTTTGTTTTGGAATTTTGTGTTTTTTTATCTCTGTGCAGCCATGAATGCTAAACGAAAAGAAACTTTGCCTGAAATTCGAAAATTAGTTATTAAGTTGCATATTGAACGTGGAAAATCTATTAGAGAAACTACTGAAACAGTTAACTTCAGTCATTCAACAGTGTTCAATATCATTAAACGGTATAAAAAGAATCATATGATTCAGGATAAAGAAGACCTGGCCGACCATCAAAGCTATCCAATGGAATAAAGCGAATTATCGTTCGAAATATTAAAAAAAATCCAAGAATGAGTGCTCCCAAAGTTGCTGCTGATTTACAAGCATTATATGGAGTAACTGTTAATCCTGAGACTATTGGAAGAGTAATTCGATTTGCTGGATATCACGGTAGAGCAGCCAGGAAAAAATTCTTCGTGAGTGAAAAGAATAGAAACCTCAGACTGGCTTTCGCAAAATCCAACATAAATAAGAATTCTGATTACTGGAATGAAGTTATATTTGCTGATGAGAGTAAATTTAATATATTTGATTCTGACGGTAAAATCTTGGTGTGGAGAAAACACAGGAAAGACAATTTCTTCAAAACAATTAAAATCGGTTGCTTCAAGAAGAATGGGGTTAAAATCACTCCAGAAATCGCAAAAAAATTAGTCGAATCCATCCCAAGAAGATTAAATCATGTTTTAAAAGTAAAAGGAAATCCAACAAAATATTAAATCCTTTTATAAAGTAAAATTTTTGGATAAATATTTGATGGAAAAGTAAGTGTCCCATCACTTATGTGAGCCATTTTTTGCTCCGTTCTAAACAATTGTATTTTTATGAAATTGATATTTTAATATTTTGAGAAAATGTATGTTATGTAGTAATTGTTACTAAATTTAAGTATGAAACACACCCACAAAAAATTTTTACATTTTTTTAAAATTTATTTTACTACAGTTTCCTTTTGTAAAGCACAAGTGTCCCATCACTTTTGTGAGACACTGTATGTGTGTGTGTATGTGAAGCATTGCTTAGTGTTCCTAATTTGTAGTATTTATTTTCTTATAATATTTCTTTTCATTGCGAGAAATTAAATTTTTTATTTATTTATGTGTAAAATTCTAGTATGCCTGCCTACAGAGAATATAATGTGATTTAGGAATTTAAGAATCTGTTTTTCATTAATGTGAAGTTTAAAATTTTTAGAAAATAATGAAAACTGTCTACCTACTGGTATATAAGGGATTATGTTGTTACGTAGCAAAACGTTAATTTGTAAATATGATAAAATTGATATGTTCCAGAGTATTAATTAAAAAAAACTTTTTTTTATTTGTATAAATGCTAAAGCTTTAAAAATCTTTGAAAATAATGGAAGCTGTATGAAATACAAGTATGAGAGACTGCGACGTTCTTTATCGTTGTAATAACTGGTAGAATTCGCTTACTGTATCATGATAATTTTAAATATAAACAATTTATTATACTTATTTTCAGTTACGCCTAAGCTCAGAAATGTAAATTTAAAGAATTTGATGTTATTTACAATAATAAACAATTCATTATTTTTTTTAAAGAGAAAATACAATTACGCGTAGCATGGAGAATCATTGTGACGTCACACCAAATTATTTATTAAAGGTGAAATAGCTAAAGGTTTCCGTATTGTTTTAAAATTACATCCTTTTAACCTTAATCATTTTTATTAATCATTTCTTAATATTTCTTTCTCTTAAAACCGTGTATAACAGTCATAAACTTATTTCTATTATCCACGATTTCTGGTGAAATCAAGATGGCTACTATTTTTTTAAACACGGAGTTTCGTCGAACATCTGGATGGCAACCATTTTTCAAAACAACGTATTTCATGTGCTTTGGCGCCAAACCAAATTCGCCAAACTTTGAAGGTGGGCTATACTAAAGCTGTTCCTAAAACTTATTCTAGCTCGGGGTTTGATTCAATGGCATTTCTAAAATTTTCTACATAAAAGTCATAACGATAAATTTCTCATTCGATTTGCTCCATAATCATCTGAGTAGAATCCCAGCATACGGAAAGGTCTTGGTGCGATAACTCGTTTGTTGCTCATCATAAATACCGCGTTTATCTCATCATAATGTCATCAAATCCCGTATGTACCGTTATACTAGGATTAAGCCGTCATCTGCTTTTGTGACGGGTGATTGTATATATCAACGTATATAAATGTACATATCAACAAACGTTCGTACTGCGATGTCCATCATTATGAATGTAAAACAGAACGACATCCAGAATAAGCTGTTGCCATTTCTTAGTAGATATTGTGTCTAATAACAACAAATAATTTATAATTACGCTTACAGAATACTGAATAAAAACTAACAGCAACTGAAATTTATTTTAGATTCAACTCGAAGTGCAAAACAGATTTAACACCAATTTACCTCCATTTGTCACGGGAAGACAACACGCAGACAACAGAGAACATGCAAATTACAAGTTAATTTCTTTCCTGCATCTAACTTGATAAATTTGATGAACTAATACTTAGAACATGAAATTTATCAAGTTACTTAGTACATGAAATTTATCGAGTTTACTGAGTACAGTTCACCACATTGGAGAAAATTCCGCTTGTGTGAAGTGTAACACAAATGAATGGCTCTAAGACCCGATTGCGATGCCAGTTCTTTGGTCCTTACTTAGAATCATTCTCCTATTTAAAACTTTCTTTTATATATTCTGGGGGAGTAAAAGGAAGGCAAGATAAATGTAAGTTAGACACACAGGTTAGGCATACATTGGATAGATTTTTAACATAAGCAAAAACGTGCTAGTTAAAATAAACCTTGTATACTAAATTGATCTTCTAGACTAAAAAATAATTTGCCTGTCCTTTGCACAGCAAAATTATATACCCGAAAATCGTTTTTGTGAACAAATATGCAAAATTAAAATTTCATAAAACAGTTGTGTTATATACATAAAAATTAGATTTAAAATTAATTTCATGTAGATCATGGCATCAAATAAAACTAACACTCTCGAGCTTCAAAATACTTAACAGTTGTTAAATTTAAAGACTAGGTTTGGTTTTGCTTCAAAATGCGAAATTTATCAGTTTCTCATCAGCTGAAATTTTGCTTTTATGACTTAATTTCGTATAGTATCATGTAATATTTACTTCGATGTATGTTGATATCATTGATCCAGATTCATTAAAATGGATGACATAAATAAGACTAAAAACGAGCTTATAAATCATTGGTAAGTTAATGTTTGTCTGCATATTCTTGGTTGTTTAACAAAAAATTGAAGTAATAAACAACGACATTGAGTAAGGCTCCTTCGGGGCAGTTTTTTATGAACTGTAACTATCATAAAATATTTAGTTGAAGTTCAGAAAGTTTAACGGAAGAATTTAACTATAATACTTCATTAAAAAGACTGCTAAAAAGTAGTAGAAATCGTTCATGAAAACCTTTCATAAGTTTTCTTTGCAGAAATCATTAGATAATGTTCCAGGCTTAAGCGTTACTCGTAAAATGTTTAAATGAATATACAAAGATTAAAGCGGTCATCGAGCTTAATCGCCCAAACTGTTAAACCAAATTTCGGAATTTTTAATTTTCAAATGTTGGCAAAGGCTTATGCAGCTTTCGTATTAGTAATAGTTAGTTTTCATAACTATTTTAATAACTAATAATTTTATTCTTACACATTTTGTGAGTTCAATATGTGGAAAAAATTGAATAGGCTAATAATCTTAAATTGGGGATACAAAGGTAGCTTGGGCGATAATATAAATCCTTTCTTTCACATGCTTTTGTTATTGTTCATTGTCATAATCGTCGCCAAATAACTATTTCGGTTAATATCTGCTTTTAGTAATAAAGATGGATTTGGCGAATGTTAGCCGCATTTGAACATTATTGATGAGGTGTCTCCTCATTCATCATTGAAGTAATTGATATCTGTTTGGGAACAGATGTGTCAAGCTCATGGCGTTGAGGAAAAATTACCGCCAAACGTTTTTGGCGAGAAAACCCATTTTCACAGACTTAATAGGCTTTAAGTGAAAAATGTAAAAAAAAAAAAAAAAATAAATAAATAAATAAATAATTAAAACTATAAAACAAGTGCACTTACAGTTCGAAAAGGAGTGAACAGCGTTAAGAAAGTTAGGAAAAATGTAAAAAAATTAATTTTTATAAAAAGCACTTCAGAAATAAGAAAATAACCAAACAAAAATGTACATGAACACCTAAACTAATTAAAGGTTACACCAAACGAAATCTCACAAAATTGAATCGTTACCATGACAAAGAAAAAATTGCGAAATTTGACAGGCTGCATCTGTGCCTCTATTTATCTAATTATAGCCTTTATAATTGCTTTCGAAGTAAATATTTCGCCAAACCACACCAGCCTTAAACCCCGAACTGAAGGTTAAAGAAAACCTAATAGAAATTTTTAATACACGATCAAATTATCTTTGTTTCTCATGAATTTAAAGTTCAGAACATTCAGAGAAAAAGAAAAACCTGGACAACGTTTCATCTACAAAAATGATGTATTCTACCTATGTGCTTTGGTTTGGTGCATATGATTGTGACAAAGAACGCAAGGGATGCCTTCGAGCAGGACTTTTTAATGAAAACTGGCTCTTATTCAGGTTACACATTTGGAAAACCACGAAAATCCCTTGCAGCCAATCTGTTCGCTTGGAGTCTAATCGAGATCGAAATACCAGTGTGTAACAACTTTGCAGCTTATCTGCTGGTTGGATTATGCCTAAGGTAGATCGAAGATCATCATTTTTCATTTGCCTGCAAGTTTTTTGCAAATTCGTCTTTAACTTGTAACAATTAACATATTAAAACACAATAACACGCCGAACAAATACCAATTCAGAAGTCAAACAACAAAAATCAGCGTTATATTTCCAAAATTTTCACAGGACTAGATTCGATGGTTTTACCGAACCACCATCCTCAGCTGCAAAACCGCAAATGAACAAGATAGGAAATAGTGATTAGATAAGATAAGAAAGCCTGGGCAAGAATAAGCAAGTGGCGCCATCTGTTGGTGAAACCAGAACTAAAACATAATTTCTTTAAAGGACAAAGGCAAAGATGGATTGGAATTAGAATCGTTAACTAGAACAGAAAGTTTTTTTTTTTTTAAACCATCGAAACTAGTCCTGTGAAAATTTTGAAAATTTAACGCTGATTTTTGTTGTTTGACTTCTTAATTAACATATTCTTTTAAAATGGCACCCTATTTTCTTCTCTTGCATGTCCTTGGGCAACTCTTTTCTATGTATTTTGCTTCCATATTCGAAAAAATTTGCATTAATGTAAGGTACACTGCGGGGGGGGAGGCAGTTCTATATCTCTCATTCTGCTAGGCCGATTGACGAAATTCAACTTGTGTTTTTCATGTCTCGAAAGCGCGACTTAGGATATGTATTAGGTTTATATATAGCGTTATTTTAATGTAGGTATGTATACAAATCGGAGTTTTTCTTAAATTACATACCAATTTTTTTCCATATTTTAGTTCTACGACTCAAATTATGCCTAGATATTAAATTTTGTAAAATTTGTATCAAAATACCAAGCTTTGTAAAAATCGCACGAGTAGTTTCTAAAAAATTAGCTCTCAAAATTTTAGCTCCTCAATGTAAATTGAGTTTGGTATACATTTATTAATCTCTCTCTTTTTATTAAACTTATTTGATTCTTCCTTTTATATTTCGAAATTCAGGTTCATTCCAAATAAAATTCACCCATTTTTCTGTGATTTATTTTAAAAATTTGTATTTTTAAATAATGTCTACAAATTTTTTAAAAAATTTGAATTATAAACTATAAAATTTTTACCATCATATTAAAGTAGACATATTTCTAAGCATACCTGCAAAAAATTACAGTTTTTATTCAAAATTTCGAAGACAGACGTGAATTTATATATTGGCGCGTTTTCAAATTTTGCATATTTGTTGAAAGCGATAAAACATCAATTGTGGTTTAGACCCATTGTTAAAATTACTTGAAAGTAGGAACGAGTGACCTTTTTTCCGCTCATGCACAATGTAAAAAGGTAGGGACGAGGCGGGTTTTTTTTCCGCTCCGGCATAATGGAAGGGAAAGGAAAATAGGTTGCTATATATTAAGAAGTTCGCTGAGTGAATTATTCTTGGCGCAAACTGAAAAAATTGCGCCAAGATAAATTTTTTAATTTCTCCGTAAATTTGGCACCAAATTTTACCAAATTATTCTAGACATAATTTGAGCCGTAGAATCGAAATATGGGGAAAAAAATTTCAGAAAAATCTGAATTTGTGTCAAAATATCTATATTAGGACAAGTCTACAAGTCTATATATAAATCTAATACATATCCTAAGTCGCGTTTTCGAGATATGAAAAACACAATTCGAATTTTGTCAATCTGCCCAGTAGAACGGGAGATATAGAACTGTCCTATTTTTTTTTTCTTTTCGCAGTGTACTTGTAACCGTCTATGCCTTCTAACAATTTCGAGAAACTGAAGGCACTGAAAACTTTTCGGTGGACGAAGAAAACTATACAAGACCGGAGAGAACATTAGTTTTTAGTTGATTTCAAAGTATTCAGAGATCTCCGTACAAGCGTCGCTCTTCGATGAGCTTTTGCATTGTTGTGTTCAACGTTCTTAGTATTTGAAGTTGTAACTACTGACTGTGCTCTGTCATACCGAGAAGAGCTGTACGAGTACTTTTGTGTAAAAGATTTAGTGTGCATTCAAACCATTACGAATCCACACGCACGTAACAATAACAAAGATATGAATATTTCAGGTATTTGAAATATCTGTCTGTTTTTAAAATTCATGAATTATGTCCAAGAAAATATTAAAAATCACTCACTTCCTGTTTATAAAAATAAAAATAACATTTGTTAATTTTGAAATCGTAAACTATCTGATTGTTTTTGATATTTTAGTTGGCGACGATGCTATCCTTATGCCACAGTTATTCATCGAGAATCAGATCAGGAGACTCTGGACAGCATTTCTGATCGTCTAGAAGAAGCAATGGAATGTCAAGATCCAGTTATCATCATACGCTGTTTACATGTTGGAGCATTGATCAAAGGATGGATGAATTTTGGCAATATAGTTCGTCAGGCCTCATCTGCCTCTTCGCTGGCTTCACTGATCCTCAGTGTGTTTCGTCAAGATTTAATTCCCCAAGTCTTAGCCATTAGTGGCTTAGTACTTTATGTAATACATTGTTATGTTTGGAAGTTTGATAGAAGTTATCAGTATACTGTCTTGTCCGGAAGTAAATTTCTGGAGGACGGCGACTTTGGAGAAGTCGTTCTCGTTAGAAAGCCAAGGACTGGGACATTTTTACTGCGGACAGTAATCGTAGCAAGTGCTTTAGCTATCGCTGGATATTTTTATCTGAATGGGAAAACTTAACATCTATTAAATGATTACTGATAAATATAATTACTTTTAGATCAATATAAATTGATATTTTTATTGCTTTCACCATGCAATCACACACAAGAGAAACATCATTGTAAGAACACTAATGTATTATTATGGAAATGAATCTGAATATTAATCATCTCTTAAAATTATATTGTGCTAAGAGTTTTTGCATGCTCCTTATTACCTTACTTAATAACATAAACAGCTTATTAAGTTCTTTAAATTTATTTATTATTAGTTATATTAAAATTTCATCCTCATTACATTCTATAAAACAGTGGTCTTTAAACTGTTTTCAGCGGAACCCCAGGGTTCCACGACTGAAAATCAAAGTTCGTAAAAAAATATAATGGATACACACTAGTTAACTAGTGTGTATTAACTGAAGTATATAAGGTATTTCTCCCGCCTTCTTAGCGTGCCTTTGATGCATTGGTCTGCACGCCGGGCGCGTATTCCAGAGGTCCATGGTTCGATTCTCGGCGAAGGCGTTGCTCATTTTCATCTCTCCTGCTTCCAGTTATCTTAATGACTCTACAGTGGCGCCCGAACTAAAAAAATGGTGGATGATGATTCTCGACACGCAGAATTGGGTCAGCTAAAAATCCCAGTTGCTCTTTAAAAGGGGGAGTGTATAAGGTATTTCTTCTGCCTTCTTAGCGTGCCTTCGTGGTGTAGTGGTCTGCCCACTCGATACGTATTCGAGAGGCCCGTGGTTCTATTCCCGGAGAAGGCATTGCTCATTTTTCATCTCTCCTGCTTATGCAACCGACGCTTCCTCCAGACCTGTACCAACCACAAAAAATTCCCACCGTATTACAGACGATTCCTCAGACGGGACGTCAACTGTTCTTGCGGTTTGCGCGGGGAAGACGTGGATGCACTTCATTACCTGCTCTCCTGCCCTCTGACACAGCACCTTCAACAGCAGTTCTTTCCTTCCGACTACATCACATATCCTGTGAATAGACTTGAATAGACTGTTCACGGACTATTACTGGAACACGGGCATCTTAGAGATAATAAAGCAAGTGAATGAAAATAATTATATTCAAGAAACTAATGATTAATGTAAAATGTAGAAAGGCGGCCTAACCGTCAGATTGCTAGCAGTGACTAGGATGACTTCCTAACCCTGTAGTGCCATTAACTTAGTTTGGAGGAACAGGTTAAGTAAAATGACCATATATCTCTCCTGCTTCCAATTATCCTAATGAATCTACAAGTATACAGATTCATTTATTTAAAAATTTAACATGTGCTTATCGCATCTCAAAGAGGATAACGGGGAAGGCTTTGCGAAACGAAACAGTTTCCTAATGGAAAATGAACAGAAGTTTTTTAACACTGTTTAGAAGCCTGTTAAAAATTATACAATGGAGCACCTTTCTTAATAGAAGAAAACTATTAAAGAATATTTCTCAGAAGAATAAACCCAGTATGGTTGGATAAAAATATCCATTCGCGTACACTGCAATAAATCAGAAAGCTTTCCAATGAAGGAAAGAGAACAAATTTTCGACATATCGATAGATTAGACGTTAAAAATCTAAATTTAAGCAAGATCAGAGGCTAAAATTTTGGTTGTAGGTTCATGCAGAATATCTAGAAGTTTCTCACACAGCTATAAATCATTTTAACGCTGTTTCGAATAATGTATTTAACTGAAAAATCTTTCTTACCGTGAGTGACAACAACAACAACAAGAAAAAGATTTTAAAAAAAAAAAAAAATTACAGACAGACTAGAAAAGGCCACTGAAGATAACTCCAACAGAGCTAGACTTCGACAGTTTGTGGTAAACAAAATACAAGCACACTCCAATCACTATAAATGTAATGCAAGGGTAAGTGACACCTGGAATACGAGTTAATACTATTAATGAGTAAATTACATTAATTTTATGCCAAAATTTTAATAAAGAATTACAATACATTAATAGACTTTACATAAAGTGCTTATATCATATCTACTTGAATATTATTATATAATATATTTTTCTAAGGGTGGAGGGGTGCCTTCCGTAAAAATCTTATTCTTCCGTAGAAACCCTTAGTTCTAAGGGTTCCGTGAGCCGACAAAGCTTTGAAGACCATTGCTATAAAGTATTTGACTTTGAAATCAAAATTTTATACCAAACAGCATAATTTGACAAATGCAGTTTTAAAAATTTAAATTTAAATTACATAAAAATTTATTGTACTTTTCCATTCGGAAAAGTGGCATTCTTAATGGAATGCATCAAATTAAAAATATTTAGTAACTTACTTTTTGACATAAATATAGCACATGTGAGAAACTCGTTTTCTCCTTTAAAATGATGTATCTGGTTTAATGTAATAAAAATTATACATTAGAATAGCCTATAGTGTATTGAGTTGTTCTATGAGCCAAATCTTGCTAAAGTTATCATTCTTTCAAATAACAACTGGAGCTAAAAATGCGGGCACAAACGGATGTTTGTGAAATGATAAGGTAAAATATTTATTCTGCAACACTAAGGCTGTTCGCACATTTTCGCTTTTTAAAAGTCCAAAAGAGTACATATCCGTGGATCATGAGTGTCGCGTTTGCTTACTAGAACTTTACTTCCACGAACGCCCTCTGGCGAAAGAGACTAAAAGTAGTCAGTTGAACGGCTGACGCGTCTAACAGATGTATAACGATAGACCGTCTCCGTATAAATTATGCTTGTAATCATTATAACTTGTAAATATTTTGTAGATATCTTTCCTACGAATTAAAATTTCTTAAAAAGTTTATAGCTGTGTTGCGCAGTGAATCGAAGTTCATCATAGAGACGGATATCCGACAAGAAGGAAAGAAGGCAGTTCAGGGCAGCCCTATTTAGAAGGTAAGTGAACTTTCACTTATCTATTTAATGATAAAAAAAATTTTAATAGTACAAAGTTGATAAAATTTTTAACATGGCGCCCGAACAGGGACTGCCAGTAACTGCTGTTTTCCAAACTATTGAAACTGTCTAAATTGATATCAGTTATATAGATAATACATAAGCATAAATAATTAGTGAATTGCTGATACTTGTTGAATTGTTGAATATTAAATAATGACGGAATTCATCGATACATTGAAAAGGAAACGCGGCCACATAAGGGCTGCCGTTACAAAATTAATTGGCCGAATCGAAACTGAATTACCAAAACCAGAAGTGAATGCAGAGGAACTAGAAATTTCTTTAGAACTCTTAAATGAAAAATCGAACGAGTTAAAACAAATAGATGCCGATATAGAAAATTTAATAAACATAAAGGATCTAGACCAGGAATTAAACGGTGTTGACGAATATCGTGAAAGAATAACTACATTTAAATACAAAGCTAACAAAAAATTGAAAGAAATTAATATAGAACAACAAAAATTTAATGTGTTACGAAGCACTGAACAGTTAAGTGAAAGTATTATAGAAAACGTTAAAATCGAAAGTCATAATGTGAAGCTTCCTAAACTTACGATTCCGAAGTTTTATGGCGAGAGCTGCGAATGGCTGACATTTTGGAACACCTTTTTCATCAGCCATACACCAAAATAAAACGCTTGACGCTATAAGCAAATTTAATTATTTGAAATCCTTTTTGGGAGGCACTGCTTATAACACCATTGACGGTTTCGATTTAACCGAAGAAAATTACGAAACTTCAGTTAAACTCCTCACAGAAAGATTTGGAAATAAAGATGTACTGATAAAACGCCCATATAGATAAATTACTGAAAATAAGACCTCTAAAAGATTCTAATGACATTCAAAATTTCCGTAAGTTATTCAATTATATACAGAAACATATTCGATGTCTTGAATCATTAAATATGACCTCAGAAACATATGGAGCTTTATTAACACCTATTTTGCTTAAAACATTGCCCGCAGATTTGGTTTTGGAGTATAATAAAACAGTTCGGAAATCAAATTACGATTTGAATCACCTAGTGGAATTTCTTTCTGAACAGTTAGTTGCGCGGGAACGTACATTCCAGACGGTCCAGCCAAAGGCGGCGCCGCAAAAGCATAACAAACTGAGTGAACCCAGACCTATTGCGAAACACACAGCTTCGGAGTTAACGAACGCAAGTTTGCGGGGGGGACAAACACCATGTGTTTTCTGCGACTCTTCTGATCACGAGTCTATAACGTGTAAACAAGCATCTTTATGGTCTACTGAGAAAAAAAAGGGAGAAATGCAAAGCGAAAGGGATCTGTTATCGCTGTTTACACCCACGGCATCTTAGTTTTATTTGCACTTCTAGAATAAGGTGTGAATTATGTAAACAACGACATGCCACTATAATGTGTTTTAAAACCGAAAACGGAGAAATTAAGGAAGAACAAATTGAAAATAAGGCCTTAACGAATAATTCATCCTATGAAAGTGTAATCTTGCAAACTTTAATTGTCAATGTTTACGGAGATGGTGAAAGCAATTTTATACGAATAATTCTGGATACCGGAAGTAGCAGATCATATATCAGCACATTTCTTGCGGAGAAATTAAAACTAAAATCTTTAGGTCAGGAAAGTGTGACTCATGGGCTTTTTGGAGGGATAGAAAAAAGGGAAAATCACAACAAGTATCTGATTAAGTTAAATAATCCAGAAACAGGATTCACATGCGAAATGGAAGGTTTTGAGCCAAAAAACCATATGCTCACATATTCCAAAATTGGAGGATAGGGAATGCTTAAAGAAACTAAGAGGTTACAAAAATTTTTCCCAGTGATGTAATTAATGAGAATTCTGTTTATATTTGAAAAACACCCTAACGAAATACACATGCTTGTAGGAGCAGATTATGCCGGAAAACTCTTTACAGGGGAAATAAACACGTAACGGAGAGTTTAGTAGCGATGAATACACACCTTGGTTGGACAATATTAGGGAGAACGAAGGTAAAGGGAAAGAATTTTAATGAAGTTCTTTTATCACTACACATTAGTGACAGAAAAATTTGTGACTTGTGGTCTCTTGATTCTATCGGAATAACTGAACCAGCTCTTTCGCAAACAAAACAAGAAATACAAAAGGCTACAGAAAATTATTTTATCCGTACTTTAGAAAGAGATGACGCTGGAAGGTATCAGGTATCACTTCCATGGCTTCAAAT